TCAAGGTCCCACAGGATCTCAGTTCTGTCATTCCAATTCTACTGCACCCTCTGCTGCTTCTCATCCTCATTCTTCTCAAGTGATTTGTCAGATCTGTGGAAAATGGAATCACTCAGCATTAGAGTGCTGGTACAGATTGGACACATCTTCTTTCCACTCTTCAAGGCCTCAAACTCATCAAGCCTATATTACCAATACAAATCAGTTTGCTACTAGTTCTCCTGCTAACAGTTCTTCCACCACTACCAACTGGTTTCTTGATTCAGCAGCTACTAGTCATATCACAAATGACTTGAACAATCTCTCTTCCTATCAACCATATCATGGCCATGATCAGGTTACTGTTGGTGATGGAACTGTCTTACCTATTCATCACACTGGTCAAGGTCTTCTCCCTACTCCTTCTTTTCCTTTCCATCTCTCAAACATGCTTCATGTACCTTCCATTTCTTCCAACTTAATTTCTGTTCATCAGCTCATTTCTGATAATCATTGCACTATCACTTTTGACAAAGATATGTTCATTATACAGGACAAGAGTACCAAGAAGGTGCTATATAAAGGCTTTCATTCCCATGGTCTTTATCATCTCCCTAGTGCTGCTCTTTAGATTAGGCCATCCTTCTTCAAGGAAACTTCAGCACATTATTACACATCATTTGTTCCCTTCTTCATCTGTAAATGTTCCATCTGATATTGATAATAAAATGTGCTCTCATTGTTGTGTTTCCAAAAGTCATAGACTCCCTTTTAGCTTGTCTAATTCTACAGTTAATAAGCCATTAGCTCTTATTCACTCTGATGTATGGGGACCATTTACTTCATCTGTTTCTTCCTACAAATATTATGTGTTGTTCATTGATGACTATAGCAAGTTCACATGGTTGTTTCCTCTCCATTATAAAAGTGAAGTTTTTCATAAGTTTTTGGAATTTAAAGCATTTGTTGAAACACAATTCTCTACTCAATTACAAGTGTTAAGAAGTGACAATGGTGGTGAATATCTTAGCACCAAGTTTCATGATTTCCTAAAGCATCATGGTATTCAACATCAGTTAAGTTGTCCTCACACACCTGCTCAAAATGGAGTAGCAGAGAGGAAACATCGACATCTCATAGAGACTACTGTTGCTCTTATGCATCACTCTGCCTTGCCTCTTGCTTATTGGTTTGATGCCCTTGCCACATCTGTTTATCTCATTAATAGACTTCCTACAGCTAAGATCAATTTTCTTACTCCTTTTGAAAGGTTGTACCATCATGCTCCTGATTACACATTTCTCAGAACTTTTGGTTGCAGATGTTATCCATGGCTTAAACCTTATGTTTCCAATAAACTTCAACCTAGGTCTGTGCCTTGTGTGTTTCTTGGTTACATTCCATCTACCAAGGGCTATAGATGTCTTGATCCTACTACTGGACAAGTTCATGTTTCCAGACATGTTGTTTTTGATGAAGATGTTTTTTCTTTTGCCTCTTCTCCATCAGTTAAGCCTGCTTCTCCATCTTTGCACCAGCTGACCTCATTTTTCTGGTCTGCTCCATCTACAGTTTTTCCTGTTTCAGATCAGTCACAGTCTCACACTTCAGCACAGTCCCAAATACCAAGTCCTGCTTCAACTCAGTCCCCACAGTCACCAAATTCACCACAGTCTTAGATCTCACCACATTCACCAAGTCCAATTGTTTTTGGTCAATTTGACTCTGTTCCAGCCACTACTGCTCCTCTTGGCAGTATGCCTACTGTTTCTGCTCCAACTGCTGGTTTGTCACAGTCTGCTGATGCTGGTTTGTCTAAATCTGCTACTATTCTGTCTCAGTCTACTGGTTTGCTTCCTTCTTCTTCTATCTCTAAGCCTCAAATTCCCATCTCTTCCTTATCTGTTCTTTTACCTCCTATTTCTTCCTCTCATACTATCCACTCCAATTCTCCTCCTAACATTCATCCCATGATCACTAGATCTAAATCTCTGCACCAGTGCTTTCTCACCTCTTCTGAGTATATTGAGCCTCAATCCTATCAGGAGGCCTCTCAATCCAGTGCATGGACTACGGCCATGAAGAAGGAATACACTGCCTTGATCAAACAAGGTACTTGGACTTTGGTCCATCTTCCTCCCAACAAAAAGGCTATTGGGTGTAAATGGGTTTTTCGCCTTAAGAAAAATTCTGATGGGACTATTGCTCGGCATAAAGCCCGATTGGTTGCAAAAGGCTTTCTTCAAACTGAGGGTATTGATTACTTTGACACATTTAGTTCCGTTGCCAAGCAACCTACTATCCGCATTCTCCTCTGTTTGGCTCTTCATTTTCAATGGTCTATTAAACAGCTGGACATTTCGAATGCTTTTCTTCATGGTATCTTAGAGGAGGAAGTGTATATGCATCAACCTATTGGGTTTGTTGATCCCACCAAACCTTCCCTAGTTTGCAAACTCAATAAAGCCTTGTATGGCCTCAAGCAAGCACCTAGGTCCTGGTTCTCCACTTTTTCCTCTTTTCTTCTTACTCAAGGGTTTAAGGCTAGTCATTGTGATTCCTCTCTGTTTGTTAAAAAGACTTCTCACTCTATCACTGTACTTTTAATCTATGTTGATGACATTTTACTTACAGGAAGTGATTCTTCCTATATTTCCACGCTCATTACTCAGATGCATTCTACTTTTTCTATGAAGGAATTGGGGCTGATCAATTATTTTTTGGGCATCTCTGTTACTACTCCTTCCTCAGGATATTTTTTGTCTCAAAGAAAGTATGCTACTGAAATTTTGGTTAAAGCTGGTATGACAAACTGTAAAGCTTCTCCTTCCCCTTTGCCTCTCAAAACTTATACTGATTCTGTTGATGATTTACCCTTTTCTCAGCCTTCTCTCTATCGCAGTCTTGTTGGTGCCTTACAATATCTTACTATTACGCGTCCTGACCTAGCTTTTGCTGTTAATCATGCATGTCAATTTCTTCAATCTCCTCTTACCAGTCATTTTGCTTTGGTAAAACGAATTCTCAGATATCTGAAAGGCACTCTTCATCACGGTCTCCATTTTGCTCCTGGTCCTCTTACCTTACATGCCTTTTCCGACTCCGATTGGGCAGGCTGTTCCCTTGACCGTCGCTCAACCACTGGTTATTGTGTGTTTTTAGGTCCTAATTTGATTTCTTGGTCCGCTAAGAAGCAACCTACCGTGTCTAGATCTTCCACTGAGGCTGAGTATAGAGCTCTTGCTCAAACTGCTGCTGAATTAAGCTGGCTTGGCATGCTCCTGTCTGATCTTGGTCCTCTTACCTTACATGCCTTTTCCGACTCAGATTGGGCAGGCTGTTCCCTTGACCGCCGCTCAACCATTGGTTATTGTGTGTTTTTAGGTCCTAATTTGATTTCTTGGTCCGCTAAGAAGCAACCTACCGTGTCTAGATCTTCCACTAAGGCTGAGTATAGAGCTCTTGCTCAAACTGCTGCTGAATTAAGCTGGCTTGGCATGCTACTGTCAGATCTTCATATTACAGTTCCAACTCCCATCCTGTGGTGTGATAATCTATCTGCAATCTCCTTATCCAGCAATCCTGTGTTTCATGCCAGATCTAAACATATTGAAGTTGATTATCATTATGTTCGAGAAAGAGTTGCAGCCAAGAAACTGCTTATTCATCATGTTTCTTCCATGGACCAGCTTGCAGATTTGTTCACCAAACCTCTCCCCTCTTCTCGGTTTTTGTATCTGCAAAACAAGCTTCTGGGATCTTTCATCCCTCTCAGCTTGCGGGGGCCTGTTAAAGAGTCTGCAAATGATCAAGCTCAGCCATGATCATTCCTCCTCATCATCAGCACCTGCAACTGCTACATCTACATCATTGCTTCAGTTAAACAGTTACAGATCAGTTAGATAATTAACAGAGTAGTTAGTTAGTTACAGAATAAACTAGAGGTAGTTAGTTTGTTATGCATTGGTTAGCTTGAACCAGAGTTAGTTTGTGTAGTTTATAAATATCTTCATTTCTGTAAATTGTATATTCATTCATTCTGAAAAATACAAAATATTTTACTTTCTGCAAAATATCTGTTATGGTATCAGAGCCACTGATCTCTTGCGAGCATTAGTTCTTGAGGATTCATCAATGGCATCTTCCCTGCCGTAGGAATCATTGTAACATATCTAGATATCAATCAATAATATACATCAATTTATTTTAACATGGTATGAGCTATAGGTTAAGCTCTTGGTATTCTTCGCCTTCCGGCGGGCGGCAACTTTGCCTTGACCGCCCGCTGGACCTCAACCAATTTGAGACCTCCATCAACTCGCAAGACCTCTCTCTACTTTACAGTGATAACTGCGCGTCCCCGTCCTCAGTTACAGCCAGGGCATAACTCGGACTGGCAGAAATCTGAACTACAGATCCAACTGACTCTAGCAGTTCTACAATTGTGGGTTTTGGTCTATCAAGGGTATCACCATGGCCAAGCTGGCTATGTGCATTAGTCCCACATGTATAGCCACGGCCTTGTGTTGGGAGGAACATTGTAAAACTAAGCCCTGCACCAACCTGCTTGCAAGGGATTCCTTTCAATGCTTCAACAAGCCTAGGCCTAAATATTGGACGGCCTGTATCTCTATGTCCACAACAAAATGATGAATTGTCTCCACAGGTAAATGCCTCTCCAGACTCCATGACAAAAGCAGCATGATTGTGGGAGGCTGAGAGCTGGATCACATGTGCATGAGCTGGATCACAGTGGGTCCTTTGCTGCAACCTCAGGCACCACCGACGCATCCGTAGGCGGTGGATAACAACTGCGCGTCCCCATCGCAACATGCATCTAACGCCGGAGCTCTGCCGCCCTCTTCCGGCATCATTGGCAACCTCCCGGCATCGTTGTCAGAGACAGCACCACCATCGTCGTCGATCTCCATTGATATCGATCTCGAGCTTGGAATTATAGCTGAAAATGAGACACAGACCGTTTGAAAGACCACACCCTATTCTCTCTCTCTGTAGAAAGTTGTATTATATAGATTATGGCGAAGGATATGGGGGTGGCGGAGCAGGGGTCTTACTCCGCCAAGGACTACCAGGATCCGCCACCGGCACCGCTAATCGACGTGGAGGAGCTGACCAAGTGGTTGTTTTACAGGGCTTTGATTGCGGAGTTCATTGCCACGCTTTTGTTCCTTTACATTACGATTTTGACGGTGATTGGTTACAAGAGCCAGGTTAACCCGGTCAAGAATGCTGACCAGTGTGGCGGCGCTGGGATTCTCGGCATAGCTTGGGCTTTTGGTGGCATGATCTTTGTGCTTGTTTACTGCACTGCTGGAATTTCTGGAGGACACATAAACCCAGCAGTGACATTTGGGCTGTTCTTGGCTCGGAAAGTGTCGCTGATTCGAGCAGTGATGTACATGGTGGCTCAGTGCTTGGGTGCCATATGCGGAGTTGCGCTTGTGAAGGCCTTCCAGAGCTCCTACTACGACGTCTACGGCGGTGATGCTAACGAGCTCTCCACCGGCTACAGCAAGGGCACCGGCTTGGGCGCCGAGATCATCGGAACATTCGTGCTCGTCTACACCGTCTTCTCCGCCACCGATCCCAAGAGGAGCGCCAGAGACTCCCATGTCCCTGTATTGGCACCACTTCCAATTGGGTTCGCTGTGTTCATGGTTCACCTAGCCACCATTTCGGTCACCGGCACTAGCATCAACCCTGCTAGGAGCCTTGGAGCTGCTGTTATTTACAACCAAGAAAAGGCTTGGCATGACCATTGGATGTTTTGGGTAGGACCCTTCATTGGTGCAGCCATTGCAGCCTTCTACCACCAGTTCATCTTGAGAGCTGGAGCCATTAAAGCTCTCTGGTCTTTCAGGAGCAGCTCCCATGTCTGATTTTTCAGAAAGTTAAAAAAAAAAAGAGAATAATCTTGGAGGGGTGCTTGAGTCTGTGATCTGGAAGCTCTCTCTCTCTCTCACTTCCCGTGGTCTCCCACATGCACTTTATGATGAAAACATTTTTTTTTTTCTTAATCAACCCACTCCCTCTCTCTCAGGTCCCTTTTTCTCTCCACCAGACCCACTTTAATCATATCCATAATTTCCCTTAATTTATTCCACCCACTCTCTCCATGGTCCATTCCTCCCCACCTTCATATCTTTTATATGCAGCTGCTCCCACCAGCGCACATGCTTTCCCCATTAATACATTATTATTATTATTATTATTATTATTATTATTATTATTCTTATTATTATTAACCAATTATTATTATTATTCTTATTATTCTTAACACAAAAAAAAAAAAAAAACACAAAACCAAATACGTCAAACACCTTTCCTGGATTTAACAACACCGTGGGCCCTGAAACCACGTGACCCACTTTCCTTCTTTTCCCACTCTTTCGTTTTGATTTCACATATTTTCTTATTCTTTCTTTCTTTATTTTTCTTTCACATTATTTTTAATCTTTTTCAACTTCCATTCATACCATATAGATTTGCACTCCAAACCTTGTTTTATTCATCTCAGGAATCTACTTCCATCGCGTTCTCACCAGAGAGTTACAACAAAAAAAAAAAACTGTCATTTCTTCTTGCCGGGATCAAACCCGATCACAATTTTACACACACAAAAAAAAAAAAAAAAAAAAAAAAAAAAAAAAAACAAAAAAAAAAAAAAAAAAAAAAAAAAAAA